AGGGCACAGATATCCCCCCCTCCCCCCTCCTCCTCCCGGAAGGCGTGACCACGTGTCCTGCTCTGTCCTTGCTCCAGGGCTGGGCCTGGCAGCTGGTTTCTGCTCCAGGGGCTGGTCTAGGGAGGGGGTTAGCCTGAGCCCACAGGCCTTTCCCAGCCCCTGGGAGCCTCCAACCCAGACAGGCCCTTGGCCTGGTCTTAAGCAGGATGGTCCCTTTTGGCCTGGCCTTGACCCCTGCCACTAGATGCCAAAACCACGCCAGGCTGGTGGGCACTATGAAGCATGTAAAGTTCTTTTCCCTGCAGCTGTGCCCTCGGAGCGGGGGATCACCTGATCCACCCTGCCCTGCAAACCCGGCTCCTGCAGGGCTTGTGGGGTTGGCGCTGCCAAGCCAAGCGTCAGGGTCCACGCTGCTGCGTTGCAAATCTGGACTTACGATTGCTGGGCCTGGGTTGTTCTGCCAGGCGGTTGTTTGGCCAGGCAAGCCCTTGGGACTGTGACTGGAGCTGCATCTGCACTGCAGAATGACAGCACGGGGAGGGGAAGTGATTTGTCCAAGGTCACACAACAAGGCTGTAGCGCTTCTAGAACAGAACCCAGGAGAAATGACTCTCAGCTCACCCAACACAGATCTGGGGAGACAACCCAGGCATCCTGGCTCCCATTCTCCCTCCTCTCACTGCCTCATTCCCTGCCAAATTAACAGGCTTGATGTATTCGTGCTTCCCTGGCTCTAAGTCATGCCACCATTTTGACTTTTTTTTTTAATTAATAAAAAGGGAATTTTTGTAACTGAAGCCTGGCTAGAAACCACAGTGGTTTGATCACTGTATCTGTGATATGCATGGCTCACAACACCGTGCTCTCCCCTTTCGGGTCCATACCGACTTCAATCTGTTCATCTTTATGGGTACGTCTACACTACATGGCTCCATCGACGGAGCCATGTAGATTTGTTTATTGGGACTACATGGCTCCATCGACGAAGCCATGTAGATGAGGGTTGTAGGCAAAGGGAAATGAAGCGGCGATTTAAATAATCGCTGCTTCGTTTAAATTTACATGGCTGCTGCGCTGAGCCGACAAACAGCTGATCAGCTGTTTGTCGGCTCAGCGCAGCAGCCATGTAAATTTAAACGAAGCAGCGATTATTTAAATCGCCGCTTCATTTCCCTTTGCCTACAACCCTCATCTACATGGCTTCGTCGATGGAGCCATGTAGTCTAGACGCAGCCTAAGGGGCTACAGGACCTCAGTGCTCTTGCACGCCATTAGCCCATGCGTTTTTGATGCCCTGAGCTCCTGTGTTCACTAAAGTTTCCCTGCTGCTTTTTGCATTTTAGAGTATAATGGAGAAGTGAAGTTAACCCACAAGAAGCTCATTACCAAATTGGGGATCGTAATTCTTACCACCACCAACCCACATCAACTTTCAACAGGGTGGGCAGAATTTTATTTTATTAATATAATTTTAAGAGAGCACTTTATGCATTTTTCTTCATTTATTTATATAGTTGCGTGCAAAATTATGGCTTTTAAAGCCTGTTTACATTTTGTATCGATTTTATAGGGACTGTGGAGGTTGAGAATCAAAACATTCAAGTTTGGTAACTGTTAAAACACAAGAACAATTTGTTAAAAATTTGTTAAAACACAAATTGCCAACATCACATCAAAATATACAAAGTAGATCTCCCTAAATCTACTTGCCCACCGCCGCCAGGGGCCCAATGTGCCTCTCAATTTTGGAAACATGGCTGGAGGCCGAGAAAGAGCCAGAGTTTGGCTTTTCTGGGGCAGCTTCACACCCTCCCTCGTGCGGTGCTGTGTACCAGGGGCAAAGCAATTCTGCTTCAGTAGCATTCTGCTCATGCAGCGTTGCTCCTAAATCCAGGGATCTGTTAAAGCTTTGATGGCAGGCAAGTCTCGACTGCCCTGGAAGCGCCGGATTGTTTTCCCTTTGCTTGGCTAAGATTTTAGAACCCGGAGGTCTGATTTCAGTTTCTGTACATTTCAATCATCGATTGAATTTTGTTTGTTTGCTTGTGGACGTGTAGTGGAACCAACATTTACCAATAAAAAATCCAATTCTTCCAAGCCTGACTTTAGATGCAGATCAAGGGCTTTCCAGCAAACAAAACAACCATAAGATCCTTAACTCTGACCTCTGTGCATGAAATACAGACACTAGAGAAGCTCTGAACAAAAGCATTTCCTTGAAAGAATGGTTATTGGGGACGGATGAGCACATTATTAGTTTTTTCACGATCCTTCATTGTGCTAAAGGAGATCAAATTGGTCTTGGGCCTGGACTGGTAATTTTCATGGGAGTTTTTTTCAAGGTTGATAATTAAAAGATGTTATTTATTAAACTCCTCAGGCTACAGTTTGATTTTCTTCGCCTGTCTATTGTTTAGCCTGCCCTGCAATTGGAAATGCAGCCACTTTGATAAATGGCCCAAAAGGTAAACTGATTTTACAGGCCCATCTGTATTGTGTCCTCTATTGAAATGTTACTTTGTAATGTCTACGCCTCTTGTAACAACAACACATTAAGTGAATTTTGTCCTGAGTTTTCCTGGCCCCTTTCTACATCACTATCAATAGCTCCTGCTAAAGAGCAGACCTAAAATTAGAACCGCCGGGCAGCATGTAGAACTGCCCTGCGTTTCTGATGTCTGTTCCGCTCCAATAGTCCCAGGTATGCTCACTTCTCCACCACCCATCCTCACCACACACTTAGAGCAGAGATCAGAAAGGGCAGGCACAAGATGAAGGCAGCTGGCTGGAAAGTGAACCGTGGCTTTTGTAGAGGTTTAGCACAATGCACGAAGGGGCTGAGCTATAGCACGCTGAAGTCAATGAAAATAACCCTCCTCCCATGGGGCCCCTCCTCCTCATCTATAGGGCAGTATTCCCTCAATTGGTTTCTACCTGTGTGCAGAATAAATTGTGTTCAATGCACTAAGGCATGTGCAGATGTGTACCACCAGGAGACACGCATGCAGGCAGCTGTATCAGCGGGGCAGCACCTGAATCTCTTCTGGGTGACTGCCTAAGTGCTCAGCTTACAGGGAACACTGCTATAGAGCCCTGCAAACCCATGGATATCTACTTTATATCTCCTGGTAAACAGTGTCTGAACCATAGCACACTGGAGTCAATGAGAAGTAACATCCAATAGGCCTCCCCTCTTCATATATAGAACCCCTCAAGTCCACGGAGATCCACAGGTCCCCGCAGCCGCTGACGTGGATATTCGTGGCTCATTTTTAGAGATACAAATGTTGTGTCTAGAACCTTTCAAATGTGTGGATCACTTTTGCAGGTGCAGTGCATGGATGTGGATACCAGTGTTGTATTTGTGCAGGGCTCTATCCATCTGGCACTTGCTAGTTTAACTGGTAAGATTAGCAGGAGCAATAGCCTCAACTGGCTAGAAGTTATTCCGCACTTTTTATTCTATTTTTAGTCTGTGACTACGTGGTGGCAGAGCTGTGGTTATGTAGCCCTAGGTCAGCAAACTGCTACATCTTTTTTATCTTCCTCCTCAAGTTTACAGTACGGCAGGTGGTTCTTTCAAGCTTTCCTTGCAAGCTGCAGGGAGGGAACCACAACAGAGGGGAATTATAAAGGACTTTGCATACGTCTGGAACCCGACCACAGTTCTTTTATGTCTGCCACCGCACAGAAAGAAT